CGCTCATAGGCAGCGTCGCGATCATGGAACGAGTATCCTCGCCTGCATGTAGTAGTGGGAATCAGTGGGGTGTCCTCGAGCCGCATCAAAGTAAGAATCCTTGAAAAGCCTCCTCCCCTCTGCCTGCTGATGCTTGGCCGAAATGACATATGTACGGCCGTCGATCTCGATGATCTCGTCCTCGTCGGATTCTCCATGGGGAGTGGATGACCGGACATGAATGTAAGAGCTGCGGCGCTCGTTCTTGGGGCGCGTGGGTGTAGCCCACGACGCCTTGCGCGAATGATGACCACTACTCACATTGGCTGTGGCATAGTAGCCATCGCTCGTGTACCGAGGCGATGCCGTCGGGGGACGAGGACTGTAGTCATTGTAGCCTGTGCTGGCATTGCGGAAGTGCGCGCGTGTCGCCGGACGCTGAGGTGTGGCCGAGCCGCCTGATGCGTAGTAAGAGTTTCCCCTGGGGGAGGGTGTTGGTGTTGCGGATTGGAATCGCTCCCGGGCGTAGTAGTACTCCTCGCCGGGAGTGGATCCGGTGTATGGTGAATAGTTGGCCATTGCTTCCTCAGCTCTTGCGATGTCCCTGCGACATCCGCTTTCTTATTCGTCCCCAAAATGTCGTCCTTGCGCTGTGGCGAGTTTGTTGTTGTGTTGTTACTGAGCGTGCGATTGCACGGATCTCGAGTCCAGTCCAGGCGAAGCGCGCCGATGTCGAGACGCGGGAGAAAGTGACACCAGTCACCTTGGTATGTGGTCGGAAGAGGGAGGGATGATGAAAAACCGTCTTCTGTAGGCGAACATGTCCAGGCTGTGGGTTTATATCCTCCGAGGAGTTGACAACGTTGGCAACACCAAGTTGAGACCTGATGTTATGGAAGATGCTGGTTGCTTCGGAGAGCGTCCAGCAAAGGGTTATACGGTTTGCTTGGAAATCGAGTTTTGCGAAATCGCCTTGGCGACTCGTTGATATGGTTGGTGCGGTGGTTGGAAAATGGGGTTGTTTGGTTGGCAAAAGCCAAAAGTGTCGGAAAGGAGACAAAAGGCTGGAGGCTGGGCGGTAGTGACGCCCTTTAATATTCTCGCTTGTTCTGTGGGAGTGGATGGCGGCGCGGCTCTCCTAGAGAGCGACGGGAGGGACGCCAGAGGGGACGAGGATTGCTGAGCAAGGATGTGTCCAGAACAAGGAGTCTAGGATGGAGACAAGATACAGGGGGGCAAGGGCCAGGGGGTGTGGTTCAAGGAAACCCGCCCGACCAAAGCCAAGGCGCGGAGCTCAGCCCAATGGAGGCGAGGCTCCCGCTAACCCGACGGAAAAGGGCGAAGAGGGTGTGCCCCTATCTTCTGTGAGTCGTCCTTCTGGGATTACTCACGACGGCCTGGGCTGTACGGTACGAAAAGAAAATATGGGCACGGCCTGCCTGTTTGTTGGGCGCCAGCCGTCGAGTGTGGCAGTCCTGCTGCTTGAGCCTGTCGTGTATGTCGCCCTCAGGAGTTGACCAAGCTGATTTCCTGGGCTCGTGAAAATGTGCTCTGACTCGCTTTGGAAAAGCACGGTCGCAGGCGAAAGGCGATACGGTCGCAGGGAATGTGCTGGGTGTGTCCGTCGTGATTTCTTGTCGCGTCGCAACCAAATTCAGAGTGCCATAGTGAAATGACCAAATCGCGGCCTCCCTGTGGTTTGATCTCGGTCAACCCTTGGACTCTGTGGACTTCGGTCTGACTCTGAACCTGCGTCCGTGGGCGACTGAGGCAGGGAACGAGTCTGTAAATTCCAGAGGGTTTTTGACAATCCCAGCCTTCGGTCTAGTTGCTCCTCCAGTTGTCAAACAAGATGATTCGAATTCGTATAATTGGCTGTCCACCCGTCACGGTAAGCGAAATGATGGCGAGCGCGGCGTGCTGGGTATGGCGTCCCCGACGTGCTCCTGGTCCAACGGCGCCGCAGCGGGATCTCAGTGCCCAGTGCCGCGTGAAAATTTTTCTCCAGGGGCGTCCCAGGGGCAGAACGTGGCTTCTGATCGCCGCACAGGCGTTCACACACGGGGGAATCCTGGTCTGTGTTGGAGGCACTCTGACCGGTACGCAAGGAGGGTTGTGGGTAATTGTTGGGATTCCCGGGGATGTTCCTCGATTCACCGAGAATGGGCGACAAGCACGAGCACAAGCCAACAGCCCAGCCAGGATCAACGGAATTGCGAGCAGCAGATATGCAAGGGATCCGGCGAATTCAGTATGAGATTCCTCCGCCGGTGGTGCTGAAATACGAGAGAGATGGGCCCAACGAGGCTGGGATTCTGGCAAGTCGATAGGAATACCTGACGTGGCCTTTGTTGGATTGTTCGACAGTGAAGGGAGGGGCACGATCTCGCGTGTCGTTTGTTACTAGAGCAATCTTGTCGTCTGTTACCAGTGATGACGTTCGTCGGTAATTCGAGTGTACAACGGGCAGAATGCTGGTGGGCACTTTGTTCTCTTGGTCTTGTTCAAGGAAGTACCAACTACGACACCTCGATGGACGACCGGTGAGTCGAAGAGTCGGGTCTGGCGAGGAACGGGACGCGCACCGGTCAGGTCGGCCGTTATTTTCCCTTCGGTCACCAACGTGTACGACGTAGGACGCCCGTTGCAGGATCAGGCCAGAATGGTGATAAGCAGCAATCTTGGCTTCCGGTGGCGGGAGGAGGCCAAATCTTGCGAGATGAAGTGCCAGGATATGTAGCACAGACTAACAGTTGGTCGGCGGTTTGATGAATGCCAGGGGCCAGGCAGCACAGAACTGGTGAGTCAACGGCAGCCTTGTTTCCAGTCGACGTTGTATTCGTGCGGTTTCGTGTCGCCCTGGTGCCTTGTCATGCTGTGACGCGACCGAGGACAAGATGCGCGAGCTCAACGCGCGTGCGATGCTTGCCTTTGGAAGACAGGGTAGCAGGCAATCAGGGTGAGCAAGAGATGCAGCGTCCAGCCCGGGGCGAACATGGCTGCGAACAGGACCAAGATGGGGAGCGGAACCAGAAGGGTCGACCGAGGGGTCCTGGCGAGTTTAAGATTGGTTCGAGCAGAGCGGGCAAGTGCACCCATTGCTCCGGCGTAAAGGTGTCGCTGCTGCTGCTGCTGAAGCCTTACCTTCCTTCATCCTTCTCCCCCATGCCAGGTTTTTGCGG